AACCATATCTGCAGGCATCAAAAAATAAAATGCTCAACATCTCTGCCACCAAGTACTGTAGGGGTCATGATATGACCTGTTGGGTGCTGAGCATTCACCACAGTCACATACTGAAATCACTAGGAAAAACCGGTAAGCCTTCAGTTCTCAGGAGAACGATCAAGAATTGCTGCTCCGGGGCTTGGGCATTTTTCCAATGATATCTTTTTTACTCGAGGAATAAACAACTCCAGTTGAGTCATTTAATTCATAAATGAATTAAACTTCATCAACATTTATTCTGAATTACTTCATTTATATGTTATAAAATCAGAGGTTCCATTCTATTAGGGATCTGTTATCACCTAAGTGATTGGAAAATGATGTCTGCTAAAAATACAATCAAAATAATCTTGTAAAAATATTCTATGATCTAGGGCGAGGAGTATTGCTCAGGGACAGAGCATTTGCCTAGCATACTTAGGGTCCCAGATTTGAACCCCAGCACCTCAAAACAAATTAAAACAAAAGCCAAAACCCCCACAAAACTCTGCAATCTAAACCCCTTTTAAATAAGTGAAACATTATAATCTAAGAACTAGCAAGCAGAAATTCAATAAAGCAATTTAAGATGATCTAGGAGCACAGTCTGAAATTTGGCAATACGATGCTCTTTGAGTATAATACAACTGTATCTTTTAATGATCCAAAAAACTTGCAATGAACGCATGGTGTTACGTGGAAAATACGTGGCGACACATGGCAACGAGGAGACAAGCCAGTGACCAGACCTCTCAAGAAATGAGTCTTACTCTTCTCTATGATGAAGAAGCATTTAGCAGATTCACTGACTGAACTGCCTAAGTTCTGTAGCTACTTTAAAAAATATGTGCTTCATAACTATTTACAGATTTATTAATCGCATTGTCTCTCCTTCTTGGAGTTCAAAACTGCCTGAATCTATAATTAGTTCATGTTCTGAAATTAACTTATAAATCACATTTGTGCAGTTAAAAAACAAAGTGTGAACAAGTTTAAAGGTCAAATAAGATTTTATTAATGATTCTTGTTGCTCATCTGAAGATTTAGGAAAGACACTGAAATCAGTTAAGCAGCAGAGCTAGGTCTACAGGCAGAAAAGCAAAAGCAGAGAACAAAAAGCAGATTGGTCATTTTAAAGTTACTTTCCTCACAGGGTTAAATCAGTGGGGTAGGCTTACTATGCTGGCTAACGCACCCGGGGCCCCTTCTGATTTATTGCTGAGCGTCTCCCAGGGGATTTGAAAAATTGGCCTGTTTCAAAGTTCGGTTTGATGACCGGTGAGTCCATTCTGTCAGTCTGATCGGCTGGACTTGATCACCTGCTAGGTCCACAACAATGGCCTCTTATACATTTCTGTTAACAATACAAATAAAACACCGCTTTTAATCCTTTTTTTAAAAAAAAAATACTGGAATACAACTGCCAAGAAAATTCAAAAATCACTGGAGTAGGTGATTCCTAAAGTCTCTTGTAGACCTGAAATTCCATAATCTTAACAGTACTGGAAACACAACGGAGAGATCAAGGTTCACAGTAAGGCACGGTCTTGGGAATTATTTCAGGTGAAACATACAGATCTAGTCTAGAAATTCATAGCACAAACATTGTTGCCTAAAGTATTTGAAGAAAACAGGAAGGTACAAAACCAGGTACACCTGTAATCCCAGCTACTCAGGAGACTGAGGCAGGAGGATGGCAAGTTCAAGTTCAGTATGACAAAAAGATCGTCTCCAAAAACAAACACACACACACACACACACACACACACACACACACACACACACACATATAAGCAAATGGAAGGCAGTAGTTGGGTTAAAAATGAAATATTCAAAGTATTTTACAAAATTCCTGGGATAGGAATTTGTACTTTGTTTTTTAATTAGAAATCATGGTAGCTGAAAAAATAAAAGCTAATAAATTTAGTAAGAGTTAATAGCCCTAAATACAGCTAGTTTCTAATTGTAATTCAGCTAACTATGCTAAGGAAAAAGGGACACTTAGAGACTTGAAATTACAACGTATGACTGGTAAGAGTAACAGTGTGCTGATTGTGATGTCAACTTGAAAGGATTAAGAAACACCAGGCTTAGTGGAGCACAGTTCTGGGTGTGCTTTTGGACGACTAACCTGTAAGTGCAAACCAAGGAGAGAAAATCCCTGCATGTGGGTGGCACCTATCAACAGGCTTGTAGTCTGGGTGGAGTGAAAAGGGAAAAAGAAAGTCTTCCTTTTTGTTTCTTTACAGGAGTTCCAGTTCCTGGATTGTCATCTCCAGTTCCCTGAGGCTTCCAGTTTTCCCATGTGTGCACACACCAGCCTCTGCCGAGCTCCAGGCCTTTGACCTTACACTGGATCCCACTATTCTCAGTGTGAAGATGGCCATTTACATTCTTCTACTCTGACTCTGCAGGCAGCCACTGTAAGCCTATTAGTAAATCCTTTGTATGTCATACACATAGTTTATAGTAAATCTGTTCCTCTGATGAACCCTAAATGATACAAATTTTGGTACCAGAGAAGTGGGATCACTGCTGTGATGTTTCCTGGCCATGTGATTCAGAAGCTTTGACTCTGGTTCATAGGAAGAGTCGGGAAAGTTCTGCAGATGGCAAAGATGGCTCAGGAGGTTTCAGGTGGGAACAAGGACTCCACTGGCAGTTATACTCCAGACCAAATGTGTTATGCTCTTACAGAAGGTTTATGTACATCTGCACATGTTCCGAGACTTTATGGGAGACTGAGATTAACCATATAACAGTTTAATCCGAGTATCATTTGGGCGACATATTTGTTTACCTACAGAGTAACCTGGCATCACTCAGACAGACGTCATTTCAATTAGATTTTTTTTTTTTTTTTTTTTTTTTTTTTGGTTTGATCCTGGGAACTGAACTCAGGACACTGTGCTTGCCTGGCTGGCGCTTTGCCACTGAGCTATATCCCTGGCCCTCAATCAGTTGATTTTTTTCTACTGAATAAATTTGATAAAATTGTTGGTTTTTATATTTCTTGTTATATTGTCTTATAAAAACTATTGAAAAAATGCAGTTTTTGGTCATCCTGTGTTTAAATAATTGGGCTAGTAAGTGCTTAAGGATGAATTAATCTGATGGAAGAAATTTCAAAACATTCCAACATATAGCCTGTGGGAGGGGCACTGCTGGGGAACCAAGAACAAACGGTAAAAGTCTGAGTGGTTTCAAAAGTTCTTAGTGTCGCTAGGAGGAAGCTCCTACAAAGCTGGCGCATGTAAAACTGGAGTAGAGGAGAGTCTGGTTGTGGAAAAGGTCAAAAGGAGCCAAGTACTTTGGATCAGAACAAGAGGAAACCCATCTCATTCTGAGAAACAGCTCTACTTTCCTTGGGATAAAATCTAAATCTCCTTAACATGGCTTAGCAAAGTCTTTCAAGACTGGACTTTTCTTCTGTGTCCACAAACTAAGTTCCAAATTTTCTCTGAAGTCCTTGGAAACTATGTGAAATTTTTTTTTTTTTTTTTTTTTTTTTTTTTGTCTTTTAGAGACAGGTTTCTCTGCAGTTCAAGCTGGCCTTGAGTTCACTTTGCAGAACAGGCTGGTCTCAACTTGCAACAGTTCTGCCTCAGCCTCCCGAGTGCTGGGATTATAGATGAGCCACCACGCCTGGCTAACTATTTTAAAGATTCCCAGCTTTTGTCAGTGTACTCTAACTAAATCCTACTGACATCTCACCCACCCACCTTAACCTTCAACTTGGAAATCTCCCACATCAAGGAGGCTTTTACAGATCCAAGTTAAGATCAGCCAGCCTTGCAAATGTTCCCTCAGTCAACATGTACAACATTGTATCTCAATGCACTGTCTTCTAGTCCTCCCTCCACTTCCTGCCCAGTTGACTATGAACTTCTCTTGGTAGGACTGAGCTCACGTAAGCTTGTAAGTCGTTTGCCCACATACGTATATAAATAGTTTATATGGAAGGTGCCAAAAAAGTATTGAACAAATGAATAGCAGTGTAGGAGACAAACTGAATGCTTATGACTTCCACCTGTCACAAAATAACATTTTATTACAGAAAAGTAGTGGATATACTAAGTAGCTGATATATTAAAATATTTCTTTACATGCAGTCAGGAAGGCTTTTTTTTTTTTTTTCTTTTGAGGACACTGATGTAGTTCAATGTAACTCCTGGTGTACTGGGTGATTTTAGTCTGAAACAATGTTATCCCTTGCTGGACAAATACAATAACCGTGTACTCCACATTTGCAATAGTTCAGTTCCTCATTAAGTTCCTCCTCTACTGAGCAGCCAATGATCTTTTCAAAACATAAGAGACTCTACTTTCCGTATGATGGCTAACAAGGTCCTGCAGTCAATCATTACCAACCATTCTCCCTCCCCTTTTTCACCCTGCTTCCACTACAGCGAACTTCTTTCTTAGCCTTTTGTAAAGACCAAAGCTTATTCCAGCATCAGAAGCCTCGCGCTTTTAATTCATTCTACCTGCAAGTTTCTTCCCCCAAACCTTAGCATGGCTAGCTCTGTGCCATTCATATAGCCTCTCAAATGTTACCTCTCTCGGAGAACTTTCCTGATTGCCTAAAACAGCCCATCACGTCCTACTCAAACTTGACCCTGTTATTTTGCTCGATTTTGTTCCTATTACCCGTACGTGATCGGTCTGTTTTTCCCTTGAAAACATGAAATGAAAAGTGACTGCGTTTATAGCGCTCACTACTGTCTCCGCAACGATTTCAACAGTTCCTAGACAGTACATACTTGATAAATGATTAAATGTACTTAACAAACACGTTTAAAAATCCCCATCTCGTATTTCCCCCACTCTCCAGTTCCCCTCACTCGAAGGAATTCGTGAGGATCACTGTCCCTGCATGAAAGCCCTTGCTCGGGTATCTTCATTCTAAAGAGCGCTTTCTTCCCAGCAAGCGAACCATCCCCGGCTAGCAAGCAGGAGGTATCGAGACCGACACTCACCAAGCACGAGGCACTCGCGTCTGCAAAGCTCCAAGGCAAGGTTTCGGGACAGGGTCTCCTTCTCCTCGCTTCTTGGAGACCGCCGCCTCCCCAGCCCCCGGACCAGCCCGTTAGTCTTTGGCACACACCTCTCCAGGAACCCAGCTCAGCAACAGCTCAGGGTTACCAACCTGTCTGGGAGCTGACTCAGGCCGCCCTGCCTTGGCACCACCATTCCGGTCCTCACCTGCCCCCTCTGCGCCACCGTAGTTCACTGCAGAGTAGAAAAAAAGAAAGTTGGTCTCTTGTTCCGCATGCGCAGAGTCCCCCTCGGCGTACAGTGTCTCTTAGCAACCTCTTAGAGTCCCTCCGTTAGGGGGCGGAGCCTCAAAAGCCACCTCGGGGAAGCTGAGGGGGAAGTGAATGAGACCAATCGGAGACGAGTCCCAGACCAGAGCGACACGCCTCCCTTAACTGTCGCGCATTCTCGGGCAGCTTTACGGCAGGCAGAGGGTGGGGGCTGCTGGAATAAGGAGGAGAGAAGGAAGCAGCCAACCAACCAAGTCGCCCTCACCTCCCACCCCCACCCACTCCGGACCTGGTTTACGGCTCAGGGCTTAGGCTTCAGTGCGGTCGCTGATTGGTTGTTGAGGGTTTGGTCCATCCCAGTGACCCCAAAGTGCTGAAGGGAGGGGGTGGGGGTGGCCCAGTGCAAAGTGCATCCCGAAAGACCCCTGTCCTGAGACCTGGCTGCTGGCACTTCAGACCCTGTACGAGCTGGGACTTCGCCGTCCGGAGACCTCCTGAGTCCCTCCCTACCTGGAAGCCTCCGGCCCGGAGCGCCGCAGTCCCCTGCTTGGAGCCCCTGGACCGGGACTGCCCCCCCCCCCCCCAGCAACCCGAGCCGGGACTTCCTCCCTGCACCCCTGCCCCGAGGCTGCCGGGCAGCCGGGACAGCCACCCTTGCGTGCTCGACTGTCTGGATGCTCTCCCGGTTGGGGCCGTGAGGCACCCAGGAGGATAGAGAGCTCCCGAGTCTGGCCCTGCCCGGAGTGTTTCTTCAATGGAGAAGTTGGTGAGTGTGGAGGAGACTGAAAGGAAGAAGAGGAGCAGCAGCTGAGGGCGCAGGTAAAGTCAGTCACCTCCACAGAGGGGAAGAGGGCATCCCAGAGGGGCGACAGGGAGGAGAATCACTGCTTCTGTCTCACCTATCCTTGTCACCCTCCAGTTCTTTGCTTCGTTCCCCCAGCCTCAGAACCCTCTCCTCCTGGCCTGTGCACTGCATCCTTAGTGGTTTCTGTTTTCCAGGGTTGAGCTGGCTGGAGGACTCTCGAGAGCAGAAAGGGCTCTGCCCACCCACCAGTGAAGCAGCAAGCCCAGTGCCTCTGACCAGCATCCTGTATCAAGGTAACGAGCCAGCTGTCCCCTCCCCCATTGTTTATTCTTGGCCCTTTCCTCGTTAAGCAGTGCTTTATTTTCAGGGTGGTTGCTTGGGAATGCAACCTTTTCTGGACCCTGGTTTCGTAGCAAAAACAAAAACTCTGCCCGTGCCTGATCCTTAATATTTTGATAACCATATTTTCTCCTTTTTCTTGTTTAATGTGTTTCTGTGTTTTATCACTTAATACACTGTGTCATGCACTCTGCTCTGAGACTTTGAGACCTTTTTATAGCTCCCCCACCTTCCTTACTCTCACAGGAATTCCTCAATTCCATGTTAATTGCTTGTTAATTCTGAATGACTCTGCTTTTTAATTTTAATTTACTGTTTTTCCCTTTACTTCTGCTGTCACCTTTTCTTTACCTTCATCAGAAAATCTTTTGAGTAACCTAATTGACAGTGGTTTGCTAGACGAAAATAAATGTATGGCTTGAAGTAAAAGCTGAATTTGTTTACCTTCTAAGTGTAAACAGAATGAAAGCAATATTTGCCCCTGAAGCATTTATGTGTAGTTAATTCTTGGGGCTTTTATATGTGACACATGCTGATATATCCGGAAATTATTACAAAGAGATAAAAAACAATTGTTACACCTCAGATATTATAGACACATTTATAAAAAGTTTTATAAACTGGGCTTGGTGGCCCACATGTATAGACTCAGCACACTGGTAAGAGGATCATAAAGTCAAGTTAACCCTGGGGAAGTGTAATGACTTAGGGAGACCCTTTCTCCAAATTAGAAAAATAAATTGTTGTTATAGCTTGGTGTGGTGACACATGGCTGTAATTCTCAACACTCTGAGAGGTTGAGGCAGCAGGATTCAGAGTTTGAGCTTAGCTTGGGCAAGGAGACCCTGTCTCAGAATCAAATAAACCAGACAGGGGATGTAGTTCAGTGTGAAGACCATGAATTCAATCCCAATACTGAAAAAAAAAAAAAAGTTGCATAGTGTCTTGTTAATAATCATTTGACAGAAACTTAAAAAACAAAGCAATGTTTTTATATATGGGGCTTAATTTTGGTGCTTCTCATCAGCAAGTGTTCTCATCTCTGAACCCTTACTGAAAACTTGCTAGATTAAAATTTAAGCATGTAATTCATGTGATCACATCTCTGCTACCTGTTTTGTTGCTACCTTTGAAAAGGTAGTAAAGGTCAGTTTGGGACATTAATGTGATTTCTGAAAAGTGAATATGAGCCCAGCAGTTATACAAGAGTTAATTCAGAAATCAGCCAAGCAAATGATTTTGCTGATACCCACTAACAAGAATATAAAGTGAGTCATTAATCTCACAGTTATTTTAATATCTGAGATTGTATGGAAATTTTGACTCAAAGGCATACTTAAAATAGAGTTTTTTAACTAGTACATATTGTTTATACAGAATAATAAGTTTCATTGTGCATATTTGTATTTGCATACAGTATTCTTGATGATTCCTTTCCCTTTGCACCACCTCATCCCCTACTAGCTCCCTGTAGATTTTTATTTATTCTGTTCCACTGGACTTTTTTCCTTCTGCAGAAATAAGTATCTTTGATGGTTCTGCTAATTCTCCTGACATAGCTAAATATATTTCTGAGGGAATCTGAGGGTTTGCATATTTTTGAGATCTAGAACTGGACACTAAAGGGATTTAGAATCAGTATCTACCAGTGACTATTCCAGAGTGAAAATTTAGGGCATCCTTTTGTATGCGTGTAGAAATCAAGGGCAATTGACCATTTCCATAAAAGCTAGGCAGAAATTTATAAGATTGACTGCTATTTCTATTACTTAAATATGAAAGTTACCAAGCGATGCCTAATGATAGTTTTAGAACTTTAAAAACTGCTAAAATTTTTGAGGTATATTTTAAAGGTCAATATGAAATAATCTGGTTTTTTCTACATTACTGAAGGATATTTTCAGATCTGAGGTGTGCTTTCACCTGAGATAGTCAGGAGGTTTGTCACTAATGAATAAGACTCGTAAAAAGAGACCTGCTTATCTGTTAATAGTTTTGCTAAGATTAGGCAGTTTATATAAATTGTCAGCTTCTGACAATTTAATATATAAATATATAACATAAGTTGTCAGCATGATTTAGAGTGTTTGCTCTAGGTTATACCAAACATTTAAGATATTTAATTTAGGTATTAATTTACTCACATGACCAGTTAGATAGTTTGTATTTTTCAGTCTGGCAGTCAACTTTGTGTTCATTCTATTGCCAGGTGCATCATTTTGATTTATGTGGTAAACAAATCTAGATTTATAATTATATAGGGAAAATAATTGATTTTAATTGAAGCTATTTATGCATCTGTAGGACACTGGCTAGTAGTTTAACAACTATTTAACATTATATCTTTTTCACATTTAACTTGAGTTACATAGAGATACACATTATATCTAAAAAGTTTAAAGTGTTAGAGAGTTTCTGTTACATCTGATGGTGGACTTTCAACCTTTAATTTCATTCTCAACTGAGTGTAGTCCCTAATTATGTTTGTCTTCTTTCTTTCTAGGCACTGATGTATAGGCTGCCAAGACTATATTGGCTTACATGGGTTCATAGAATAATGTTGACAAGCCGCATCATTTATATGTGTGATTTAATCTTTGAGTCAGGTCTGGATAAATGAATTCTAAATTTTTTCTATTGTCTCAATCTACATTTGATGACAGTTATTGGATTTTCTGCTGGAACTCAAGTGAGTCAAAGTTGTATGTGATGATAAATCCTTAAGTTATTTGGTGACCCAGTAATATGCAGGAATACGATACGGTTACTTGTTTAGGAACATAAACACTATGCTATGTTGAGCAACACTAAAATAACACGCTTTATTTTGGGTTCTAGGGTCTTGATCATATAAGTAGAGCTCATCACCATGCATCTCAGTCATGTTGTGTATTTTGATTGACCTCCTAGTATTTCTGTATCCATCTTCCCTCTTAAGTCTGTGAGCTATTGGCGGATTTATTTTTCTCAGGGCCAATGTTCTTGGAGTTGCTGATGTTATTTCTTTACCAGTCTGTATCTTTGTTTACTCTGCAACAAAATGCTTAGTTCTTTTTTTGAGTAGCAAGCTGTTATCTTGTTTGTAGTTTGTGTGAAATCAGAAAGCACAGTAGTTCTAATTTGTATCACTTAGTCAAAAGATATGAGGACATCCAGTGAAAACAGTCTGCAAAAAACCCTTATTATTTAGTCATTTAACCCAAGAGAAATTGCGGAACTATGGTGCAGTGAAGGTCATTTGGTTTTGAACAGATCTTAGACTTATTTATTATATGGTTATTTTTGTATGTCACTCTGTCAGTATAGATTTTCCTTTAACTGTGTGAAGCAAGAATTGTGTTTCTAACTAAATAAAGTTCGCCTGGTATCTGTGTAGAAATTAGTTGGTGATTTATCTTAAATTTCTAGTTTCTAAAGCTCAACAGTCTAGATTGTTCTTTTGATCCCAGCTAGAATGGAGAAGATGAATTCACAAAATTTCAACACAGTAGTATTATTTGGCAGTAAGACCTCATAAAAATGATGCACACTGGGGAAATGTTCGTTTTGATACTTAAATTCTAAAGAACTAAGTATCAGTTTTGAATAGGCACCTTTACCAGTGGATACTGTTTGCTCTTAAGTCCTGTAGTCTTTTTTTTTTCTTTTTATTTATACATTCCTGAGTAGTTGTATTCTGTGAGATACAATTCTAACATCAGGAAGAAATTGAGTACTTGTCTGATGCTTTGGCCTAGTGGGGTTTTTTGGTGACAAATCTTTGTCCCTCGTAATTCACAAAAATTTAGCTCTCAGGGATCAGGTGTGGTGATGCGTGTTTTAAATGTTCATCCCTGTAAAGATTGATGTACCAGACACTTGCAAAGAATGTTTTTTGATTTAAAGGTATATTATTATCAGAAAAGAGAAAAATAAACCTGAAATTTCCAGGATTTTAAAAAATTTTAAGTATGCAGAATTCTTTATTAAAATGCTACCTAGAGCTGATACCTGTGGCCAAGCCTAGCATTGTGCTGCAAACACAGCAGGCATTCAGTGGACACTGATTTGTCTGAGCAATGTAGCTACGTGGAATTATGACACGTTGTTATTATTCAGCATCTTTCTTGTGGGAAACAAAAATATAGTCACGTCATCTTTCAAACCATCTTTTAAGCCTTTTCCTGATATTACTAATACACACTATTTATGTTTTCCCCACGCCTGGCTGTCACATTCTCCTCGTCATGCCCAGTCACCTCCTGTGGCAGTTAGGATGGGTATTTGGAGGCTAGCAGAAGCCACAGAGTCTCACAGGCTTGACACAGTATTGGGACATTTCCGTTTCTCTTGGGAGGCAGGGGGTATTGAGGACACTCTTAGAAGCAAGGTGTCTGATGCTGTTCATTCTCATCATGTAAATGTCACTCATGTGAAAAAGTCATTGCAGGTCATATGTGGAAAAGTGTGAGGCTCACCACTGGAAACACTGCCGTGCATTTTAAAAACAGGCTTCGTGTGAGCATCTTACCTTAGTATATGCCATTTCCTACAAAGGAGCTTTACAAATTATTGAGAATCCTGAAGAGAATGTTTGTTTCTTTATACTTTATTTATTCAATCAATTATTTATGTCTGTATAGACTCAATTGTATTTATTTTGTACTTTGGATTACAGTCCAAACTATTTGAAGTATTTCTTTGCTCCAGTTGTTCATCTTCGGCCACTGATTCCTTTATCCCTTGAATGTACTCTAAAGGATTTTCTTTGTACCTTTGTTTTTTCTTTCTGTACCATACGATGCTCCAGGCTCATCTTACATATTTCTTGCCCCAGTCTTAAAATCAACCATTTCTGTAAGGACTCTTTGTTCTGCATTGTTTTCCCTTGACCTTGTAGGAGTTATTCTGATGATGTCTACTTCATTTATTTAAAAATAGTAGGTAGTGTTTTATATCAAGTTTTATTTCCAAGAGCAAGTTGACAGTTTCTGCCTTCCTTGGAGAAGTTTGCAAGGAAAAATGGGATGTGAACAATGCAAAAGGTAGAAGTGGGTTCTACTCCTTTAGATTGGTTGAAAATTGTTGTGTGCAGCCAGCAAAAATCTATCACTGCTACTTCTTTTTCTGCAGTGTGACAGGTTGCCAGATGGCTTGTCCTTTCCCTGTCTAAAGGTTTAAGTCATATGGGACCTGGCACCCCACCACCGGGGAAAGAAGTAGCAGTCTTCCCAGTGCATAATTCTTGGAGTGGTTCTGTTTTGATGTGTGGAGGTCATTTTGCCTGTGTCCTTAACTTTGATGGAATTTGGGGAGCTAGGATTCCACAGTCAACATGGAGAAAAATCCCTTTTAGCTCTAGTCTTTCCAGAATTCTTATGGAGAAGCTGCAGAACTATTGGATGAATGCGTCAAAGAAACCAATTTCAACATTGTAGACTTTATTCCTTTCAGCATGTGAAAAACCAATGTTTAACAATGTAATCTCCTTGTAGATTCCATATGTTCCATTTTGTCTCTGTACAATATTCACTGCATATATGTTCTTTTAGTCCTGATTAGAAAGAGTAGGTAACTTACCGTTTCTGCTAAAAAGTAATTCAAATGAAGTAAGTCGGAAGATACATTGTCAAGAGAAGAAAAAGAAACAGTTTTGCTGGTTTTCAAATTCCCAGTGTGTGGTTTATTTTCTTTACGATTTTTCCAAAACCTGCATGGTTGGAAGGAGGTAGAATTCTGAAAAAAAGTTTTTGAAATCACCTTGGAGGGCACTCTAGTAAGATCATTTTCTCTAAGAATTTATCTCAGTTCTTTCTGTAGATTTATTATAAAGTGCTAAAATTTTAAATTCATCGAAAGTAGACTTTGTAGGCAGCTATGGTTCTTGATTATGTTTAAGCATTTTCCTGATTGTTATTTGATTTATTTTTAGGTTGACAAGCTCTTTGGCCTGCAGCCTGCACACACCCAGAATCCCCTCCCCATGATGTTGTATGTGCACAATGGTTGTTAGGCAGTCCCTATCCCAGGAGAAGGGACGTTCTTCTGTAAGGTAAGCTGACGTGGGGTCATCCATCATCTGTGCTGTTTTGAGGGAAAACCTGTTTTAGCTTTTACTTTTTCTTTTTAAATCAAATAACATGGCGGGGAGAGTGGCTCAGTGGTAGAACACATAATTAGCAATTTCTGCACCCTCAAAAATTTTAAATAAAAATATAAAAATTATGAATCCAAAAAAAAAATCAGTTAATGAATACTAAATATAACACTTGTTGAAAGAAAATCCAGGTTTGTTTTTGTATTATTTCCATCTTTTTCTTAATATAATACACCTTTAAAATAACCATTGTTAGAGGTGATTGTTTGATCATATAGTAATAGTTTCTAGTAATTCCTGCTGATGATCTTCAGCATTTTATTTTATATTACTGGAAAAATATAAGCAAAAACCTATCCTGAAAGGATTTTTGTTTTAAATCTATAAGACAAAAGACTTAATTTCAGAATGTAATTAAATGAAAAGATAGAAGAAAATTTTGTTTGTTAAGAGAACAAATTGTCAAAAAATCTCTCATTTCCCAGTTCTCTCTGACAGCATTGCTATTACCAGTAGCATGACATTTTTAAATCACATCATTTAGTAGTAGTATTTACCTTGTAATAACATTTTATATATATATTATATATATATTATATATATATAATATATAATATATATATAAAACCTCATCACGTACTTTTACGCTGTGACAATTCAGCCTAAGTTAGGCTTAGTTTGTCTGGTACAAATGGACACTTGTATAATGAGTTTTACATAATAAATTACTGTTGATAGCAAGATTATCCTGATATGTCTAACCTACATAGGAGAACAAAATGTCTTCAAAGGGCTGTATCACAGAATTTTTTATTTTTAGAAATAGAAGCTACTAATTAAGGCATGGGTCTGATTTATTCTTTCAAATTAGTCCACTTTGAATGTCTTCCTAGAAGCTTGTTAGTTGAGGTCCCTCTGTGTACTTAAGAGTTTCAAAACACACTAAAAATGTTTTTGGATATTCATATATAAGCTGTAACCTCTCAGCATTTCATTTTGGGATTTTCCTTTTTACTTTTTATATGAAGAGATCTGTCTCTTTTTTTTTTTTTTTTTTTTTTTTTTTTTGTGCTGGGGATCAAACTCAAGATGTACTTGCCAGGCAGGCGCTTACGCCTCTGAGCTGTGTCCCAGCTAAAGACCTCATTTTATACTGGGTTTCAGTATGTGTGGACACTGGTTTTGTGACCTAACAGAGATTGTGGGAATTCTAGGTTTTTTCCTTTAATTTTTCATAAGGTTTATTAGCAGATTGTTTAGACTCTTTAAGAGTTTTAAAATACATGATCTTGCTACTATGTTAGAGGATTTGGGAGATAGAGGCTTAGTAAAATACACATCAAATAACCTAAAGCGGAAAACACTGACAGAAAGAAACTAGAAATAGGCCAGGGATGTAGCTCTAAGGGCCTGTCTAACAAGTGCAAGGTCCTGAGTTCGATTCCCAGTACCAAAAAAAAAAGAAGGAAGAGGAATAGATGAAAGGTGAATATAATTCAAACATTTTAGTCTCATTCAGTTAACTCACCCCACATCTTGTTGCACTAGCCTTTACACCTTGAACTAAAAATAAAACACTGGGCTAAAAGTACAGTGTTGTCGAGCTGCTTTAGACAACCAACCTAAAGGTGTATCTGTGTCTGTGTTCACTGGGAATCAAACCCAGGACCTTGTGCATACTGGCACTCTACTACTGAACTATAGCCTCAGCCCTAAGTGAAAAGGATTTATTTCTTTTTTTCTACTCTGCTCTTCATAATTAAATGTCTTTAGTATTCATTGCATATGAATTGACTTCACACTTATTAACTCTGATCTGTGATCACCACCCTCGGATAGTTTACAGCTTCAACCTCCATAGTGCACCATGTAAGTTAGAACTCCTAAAACAGGTACAGTCTGACCCACTGCTGTTTCCTGTTTGTTATCTACTTGGTATTACCTCCCATTTTACATAAAATATAGCTGTTATGTTCATAAGTTGTTTGTTTTGAGTATACAAAAGACTGCAGAAGAAATTTTCTGCTCAGGAGTCCAGGGGTTTTATGCCTTGTTTTCCCTTAGAAATCATTAAAAATTTTGGCAGGATTACTGGAATTTTTGGTCTTAACAGATACAAGTTAACCAGTACTGTGAACAGCATACTTAAGTTTACTGATTTAGCAAATGGACAGGTTTGTATTACCTGATGGCCACAGAATCAGGAGCCACTTCTAAATTTATTTATTCTACCTTCCCTGAAAGGCTGATCCCTGTGACCTAATGAAACCTTGATAAAAAGTGGACTCAGCTAGGATGTTACACCACCATTGTCGAAGGAATCCTGAACTCCAGGAAGAATTGCAGATTCAGGCTGCAGTGGCTGCTGGGGATGTTCACACCGTACGAAAAATGTTAGAACAAGGCTATTCTCCAAATGGCCGAGATGCTAATGGCTGGACCCTGCTTCATTTCTCTGCAGCAAGAGGAAAGGAAAGATGTGTTCGAGTATTTCTGGAACATGGAGGTGAGTTTGCTAGAAGCAAACCTTTTTCCCAAGGAGAAACTTAAAATGAAATCATGTTTAATTTAAAATTTGTGTGTGTGGACAGATATGTGCAGGTGTGTAATTTTTAATGTTTCCCTTTTGTTAAGACTCAACACTTTGTTCTCCTTTACAAAGATTTTATTGAACAAAATATTTTAAAACCACATTGTTTAAGAAATGAATTTGGTGAATGGTCGGTACCCCGCTCATATGTTGCTTTTAGATAGAGCCATGTTTTTCCAGGTCATTTCAAGTAAGCAACCCTTCTGCACATATGTAGTAGTTACTTTTGCTTTAGAAGCAGAAGTAATTGTGATATTTACTATTGCAGAATTGCACACTTCCGGTTGGTAGTTGCTCAAGCAAAGACATAGCACAGCTTGATCCCCACTTCTTGACCCTGATCATAATTTAGACTTTGAATTTATCTTCTATGTTGGAGATTTTCTGTTCCTATTTTACTTGCAGGTTTCTAGATACCTACAAGACCAGTTATCTGGGATCTATTTTTGTATAAGTATATGTAATTGGAAATTATATGTCACATTTTGTTGTTGCTTCAAAAAACTATTTATTAGGTTTTTAAACTATTCATTGTCCCAAATCAATTTGGTGTTTCCTCCAGTTGAATTTCAACCTCTTTGTTTTCTTAATGATGGAGTATAAATATTTATCATTTATACATACATTATCTCTATAATTTGTGATATAAAACAGTTTAGTTGAGATTCAAGTTACAGATGTACCCTTCTAGGGCCTGAATTACTCATTAGCAATGACTTTATTTCATTCTTAGGCAATCCTTTGTTTCAAGAGTAATCAAACTTGCTTGCATTCTAAAGTATAAAAAAATGTTAGAAGTTCAATGGCTGCCATAAAGATCCAATAAATTATGTGACTATTAATGTAAAGTTTGTGGTCATGGACTAATTGTAAAAGAGGCTAAACCTGAGACTAGGAATAGTCACATGCCCCCAGAAATGGGAATTATATGCCTGACATAGTTGATTCTCAACAGGACCTAGAAATTTGCTGGCATCTTCTCATTTTCTAGCTGACTTACACATCATTTCACCTGGAAAACCTCAGTTCTGTAAGTTAATGAAGGAGAAAAGTAAGTAGAATGCTAGGAAAAAGATCTGAGAAAAACCAAAAGGTAGATTAGGACTTAAAATTCTGGCAGTACTTAGGAAAATTAAGACTAAGATGAGAGTTAACATTTTTGTTTCCACCTAGAGTGTCCTTAACATAAATACAGTAAACCCCTATACCCCTAGGACCAGCCCAATCCTTGCCTGCCCATCTCTGCCTAGCAATAACCATGAGTATCGGCTTGGTTTGATGCTTATACTTTTGAATCATTGTACAATTACATGAATTCATAAAAATTATGTCATATTGTATACAGCTTTTAAACATAAGTGATATGCTGTCTTACTAACCTGCAGTAGTTTTTGTTTTGTTTTGTTTTACTCAATTATATGACTTAAAGATATTGTTACTATCTGGGGTCTATTGGAATGTGAAAGCAGCCATAGATGATATGTAATGGGTGTAGCCCATTACAATAAAACCTTATAAAAACCAGTAGTGGAGGAAAAGAGAAAAACCAATGAGGGACCACATTAGACTTTTGGGACACAGTTTCTAAACTCTTCTCTTTATGTGTGCACATGTGTGTATATTGAAAAAACTCAAGAGATTAGAGGTGAAGTTCAGTGGTAGAACTCTTGCTTACCATGTACAAGGCTCTAGATTTGATCCCTAGCACCACACAAATGCAGAATGATAGACGAAATCATACACTACAGTTCATTCATTAGAAGTGCACAATCCAATGACTAATTCATGGCGTGGGGCATCCATGACACCATCAGTTTTACAATGCTAGCATTATTTCAAAAAGAAACATCATATGCATTCTATATTAACACTACAAATTTATTCTTTTCAATGTGGTATTTATGATATAGGTACAATGTTATTTTTACCTTACTTTTTGAGAATGAAACTTTGTCCATAAATTTTTATTTTCGGAGACCATAATACATACATACATGATTAAAAACCTAGTTAAAGGTACTGTAGATTTTGAATTAGGGATAAGTAGCTACACTTTAATCCCAATCACCTAAGCTCTTTTCAGAGGCAGTCACTTTTTTTTTTTTTTTCAGACAGGGTCTCACCATGCAATGTAGGCTGGGCTTGAGCTCACTTTTAGCTCAAGCTGGCCTGCAACTCTCAGCAATCCTTCTGCCTCAGCCTCCCAAGTGCTGAGATTACAGGCGTGTGCCAGCACACCTGGCCCGAGGCAGTCACTTTCATTGGCTGCTTTGTGTATAGTACTCGGCCGCGAAGTGTTTTTCCACCTGCTACCTTCTAGCTTGCTCCCCTTTTGAATGTTCTGTTTTGTATCCCTGATTTTTGTTGTGTTGTAGCTTAGTGATAGTTCCTTGTCAGTCTGCACTTTTGTCTCAGATTCTGTTGTATGGATGCCGTTTGTTTATACTAAACTCCTATTGGTGGGCAATTTAGATTGTTTTCATTCTTCTACTAGAAATAGTATTGCAGAGCATGTCCTTCACCGATGCTTTATGTATGGGAGAACTTCTCTCTTGAATAATTCCTAGAAGTGCTTTTGCAAAGTTATTTTTTAAAAAATATGTAATGACAAGTCTTTCCCCAAAGAGGCTGTAATTACCCAATGGTAATTATAATTACCCGTAGTCCTTACTCAGCGGTGGGATAATACCCATTTTCCCAGTAGTGTACAGCCAGATGGTTTGCTGTTCCTTTGTGATTTACTTTTTTTTTCTTTTAACCAAAATGACATATGAGTAACAAAACATTGTAAGACTAGGCTTCTGTCTGTTTCCTATTGACTATTGACTTTGGAATTGTTTATACATCCCCTTTGTTAGCTGTATTTTGCAGCAATCTTCCCCCTACTTTGTTATTTTTCCTCACATTCTTGCTGTCCTCTTATTGGGCAGAATTCTTCATTTAAACATAGGTGAATAGTACCTTCCTTTGGGTTGTGATTGATGCCTGTTGTGTCTTGTTTAAGAAATACATGATACCACAGAGTTAGTTTTCACTGTATTTTCTTCTAAACATTTTTATGACATTTAGGTCATTATTCTACTGGCAATTATTTTCGTTTATTCTAAGAGATGTACAGGTGCAATTTCATTCTTTCCTACCATCAGGATAGCTTAAATTATCCCTTTCTTCGTTTCATTTCATTTCGTATATATGTGGTTCCTCTTCTGAGTTCTTACTTAGTATCCCAGAATCAACAAAATGATGTCTTAATTACTATTGCCCAAAACAAGTTTTGATATTTTACGACATCACAAATGTTTTGGAGAAGCCCTTCCCTTGTTCTTTATTGCATCTCCTATCACTTGCCTACGATGCTTTTCATGACACATTGTGAGTCATTTTTGAGGAATTATTTGGCAAGGAAGCTCTCCTTCCCCTCCCTCACGTCCCCATGGCTGCACGTGGTGCTTAGGGCTGTCAGCGTTTAGTGTGGTCCCGCTTCTGGTCTCTAGATTGTTGTGCTCCATGTCAGGTCACGCTCTCCACCCTCGCACTGTAGACGTTGCAGCACGGCCCAGGTGGCTGCCCTCCCTGTGGCACCACAGCTTATGATTGTCATGCTAGAAATCTAGAAACCATCATGCAAACATTTCCCCCCTCCCCTGATGTGGCCAACTGCAAAGTCTCATTGATCCTGCCTGTTAAGTAGCTATAAAAGGTTTTCACTTGAAGATACCGCTCCATTCTTCAGCAAGGAAACCTCTTTCTTTACCACAAGTGTTGGATTGGTGTTTTTTATCCCCACATCTAGTCCTGTCCCCCTGCAGCAAGCCAGTCTCCAAATAATATGGTGCATGAGAAATGGAATTTAAATGCACCATTTGGGAATCCATCGTTGCTTTCCCATGTCCCCTGGATACTGTCCCAAGTCCTTCCTGTGATCCGCACACAGAGTCTGCCTCCTCTCCTCTCCCAGGAAAGCTTTGAGCAGCACCCGCCTCTGCCTTCTCACAGTCTGAGCCCCCGGGGCGCGTCACTCCTGTGCTCCCTCTCTCTTGCTCATGCCTACCTATCTCAGATCTCACCTGCAACTTTCTAAGGAAAACCTTATCTTTCCATCGGGCATAGTCAGATCTTCACAATGTCCCTGTAAGGGACACTTACATTCCTCTTCTGTTGCCCCATAGTACCTGTTTGTCATGGTACCTGTCACAAGCATAATGAATTACTTTATAATTTTCTATTCAGCATCTGTATCTGCAGTTAGTATGAAGCTTCTTGAGAGCAGAACCTGTACCTGTTTCATTTTCAATGAGATAGAAAACTAACACCAGCTCTCCAAGATAATTGTCTCCTCCTTTCAGAGATAAGACTGATCTTTTCCTTTATTGAAAGATACTGATTGAAAATGGGCCAGCCTAGGAGTAGAATTAAAAAGTTGCCCAAATTCACCATACGTGTCTTCAAAAATTGTCGAATAGGTGGAAATTCATAGGAAAAACTTAACAAGAAACCAAGAGTTTTTGGTTTTTCTCTTCCTCTTCCCTCTTTTTTTCCTTTTCTCCTGCTGTATGTGTGGGAGGGGTGTAAAGAGAAACAGATCTCACAGACAGATGAGGAGGCCGTTTGGTCCCGTGTAAGTATTTACCTAATTCATATATTTATTCAGGAGGTGCTTACTGAGCACCTAATATTTGTCCGACTCTGGAGATAGAGAAATAAATGTGGGGCTAGCTTTCTGGCATTTCATAGTTCAATGACTAGGTAGGTTTTTAGCCAGAATTTACCAAACATTTTATGTATGCCGAATTCTTTCTAATAATTATATGGAGTTAATAAGTTACTGGTATTTTACCTTGGAAAAAGTAAACCACAGAAGACTGATTTGCCCAGGGTTATTCACCTGAGTAGCAGTGGAGCTTGGATTCAAACCA